GCCACCCGGAACTGGGGGCGCGGCGGGCAGGGGAGGGCGCACGCGCCGTGGGGCCCGCTCCGCCGCCCCTCACCGTGGAAGTCGCCCGTGTCGGCCACCACTGTGGTGAACTGCTTGAGCTGGTCCAGCGCGGACTCCATCCTCTGCCGCTTCACCGGGGAGCCCGACATGGCGAGACGCGGCAACTGGAGCGCGGGGGTCCCAGAATGCCCCGCGCGGCCGGGCCAATCGGAGCGGTGGGAGACGAACCCTGCCGGGGAGACACGCCCGCTCGGGCCGGGACACGCCCCTGGAGACGGGACACGCCCCTGGAGACGGGACACGCCCCTGGAGGCGGGACCCGCCCCGAGTGGGGCGCAGGGTGAGGCGGTTCCCGGCGGCAGAGTCTAGCGGTGGGGTGGAGGTCCGGCTCGGCGAGGCCACACGCCCTGCGCCCCGTCTCCTAACAAAGCAGCGCCCCGTGACCCAGCCACCCCTGCGGAGCTTCATCCAGTCAGCCGTGCTCCGCTGGCGCACGCTGTGGTCGAACATAGCAGCACCCTTGGAGCGTGGCACACACGTCCCTTTCTGGCCCCCAGGCCACCAAGTTCTGTGTGCTGTCTGTCTGGGGTTGAGGTCACGCTAACATGCGCATATCCCGAGTAAAAAGGCAAAAGCAACTCAGAAACAACATCTGTTTAGCGTACAGCGTTACACACCTGTCACCCCAGCACTTGGGAGGCTGAGCCAAGGGGATCTCCAAGAGTTGGAGGCCAGCCTGGGCTACATAGTGAGTTTAAGGCCAGCTTGAACCACACAGTGAGACTTTGTCTCAAAACAGCGACAAAATATGACAGTCACAGAAAAATGCCCACAGGACTGAGGAAGAGTTCACACAGAAGGCAAGGGGTTGAACCTGGAGGGTGTGTGGGGCAGAGGAAGGTGGCCCAGCAAGGACAAGGAAACCACAAGAAGCTGCAGGGCAAGAGCTGAGAAACCATACAGAGCAAGGCCGACTCTGTCGAAAGAATCAACACCAGCAGATGGAGGTTGCCCTGTCCCCCAAGACCCTGAGACATGCGCAAACCCAAAAGTACCTGACCCTGGCCCTAGTCCAGCATCATTCATATTGTGGCTTTGACCCCCACGCATAGGGCTTCAGCAGGGCAATACCTTCCCTAAAAACCTTTTTTTTTTGTCCTTTGAGACAGGGTCTCACTAAGCAGTTCAGGCTGGCCTTGAGCTCACTTTTGTAGCCCAGGCTGGCCTCGAACTCGCAGTGACCCTCCTGCCTCAGCCTCAGCCTCCAGAGTGCCTGGATTACAGGCATGTGCCACCATGCCCAGCCTGCTTCTTTTCCTACCTTTAATAAATATAAAATCTTGATATCGTTTGCACTTGTCTTGATCATTCCTTTGCTCAAGACAGAAAAAACCTGGAAACTGCCACTAGGAGACTCTAGCACCCCAAACCCAATAACATTGGGACTTGTGCAACCTTGTGCTGCCCCTAACCCTGAGCTCTTGCCTGCTCCGCCCTGTGCTGCTTCTGCTCTGCGTGTGCGTGTGCGTGTGCGTGCGCGCGCATGCTGTGACAGAATCTCACTATGTAGCAACCCAGGCTGGCCTCTACCTTGAAGTGATCCTCCTGGCTCACTCTGCCTTGGCCTCCCAAGTGCTGAAATTACAGGTGTGCACCACCACACCCAGCTCTTTTATATTTTGAGACAGGGTCTCTCTAAATCACTAAATCATCCAGGCTGAGTTTGAATTTGAAGTCTTTTCCCGGTATGGGAAAAAAAAAAAAAAAAGAAGAATTTGAAGTCTTGCGTCAGCCTCCTGGAGTGCTGAGATTACAAACTTGCACCACCACGGCTGGCTCAACTAGTTTGAGCTGGACAAGAGGGCCTCAGGTTAGCCAGGCGTGGTGGTGCACGCCTGTAATCCCAGCACTCGGGAGGCTGAGGCAGGAGGATGATTGCAAGTTCGAGACCAGCCTGGGCTACCAAGTGACCTCAAGGCAGCCTGAACTGCATAGAGACCCTGTCTCAAAAGACCACAAAAAAAAAAAAAAAAAAAAAAAAAGGGCCTCAGGCTTCCTGAAGAGGGCCTTGGGCGGGAGTCACCATTGCTTCAGGCTGAGTCACCCAGGCAAGGGTGACATCTGTGCAGAGTTATGGGTGCGTCCCACTGGCCTCTGGCCTTAGGTCTGACCACAGGTGCTGATAAATTGAGCAGAGCCTCAGGTTGCCCTGGACTCCTCACCACTGAGTCCTGGCTTAGTGGTGCGGGAAGTAAAACAACAGCAGCAGTCTAGATTCCCAGCTCCTAGGGCCGGGGATGTAGCTCAGCGGCCCAGCACCTGACTGGCAAGCACAAGGTCATGAGTTCAATTCCCGGTACCAAAAAAACAACCGGCTCCTGGAGCCAGTGCGGTGGTCACACCTGTAATCCCAGAACTCAGTGAGGCTGAGGCAAGAGGATGAAAAGAAAAACAATAGAGACAAAGTTATGGGATGGGGGGGGGCTACAGCCTCTGGGACTGAAGCCTCGATTACTATTTTCCTTGGCCTTTTATAGAGATTCTCACAATAAGCAGGAGTAGGGGAAATGGGAGGAATCATTAACAAGATTAGCAAGGGCGATACAGTTTAATTATCCCAGGAACTGAACTTTGACTTAGCCAGCCATCATGGCATCATTCCTGGGCTGAGGATGTAGCTCAGCGGCACAAGCTCCTGCCTAGCAATTGCAAGGTCCTAAGTTCGATTCCCAGTACCAAAAAACAAAAAAACAAACGTCATCATTCCTTTGGACATATCTCAGCAAAGCATCTAGTGCTGTCCCAGCAGCTTTCCACAGGGACACAGGTCCTGCTTTCATTTCCTTTTACACTAATGCTTTTGCTAGACTTCCTCCAGAAACAAACGATCACGTGGCTTGGTCAGGCTCAAAGTCCCACACAGGTAATACACTGAAAGGTAAACGATAGAATATCCTTCTCCACACTCGGGGGACTGGGAAGGACAGCAGTGGCCAGCAGGGCCAACTCAGGAAGGACAAAACACCCAACACCAGCACTTGAGGAGGTTTGCCTTGACTCAGTTTCAGAGGGTGCAGTCCGTGGTTGGCTGCCTCTGTGGCAGAAGGGCCTGGAAGAGGAATGCTGATTACCCCATAGCCTCCAGGAAGCAGAGAGGAGGAGCAGGGACAAGAACACACCTTGCTGGTCACCTTGAGACCTCCACCAGCCGGGCCCCACTCCTGACAGCACATTCAACCACGGACGCGTCAGTGGATGAACCCACTGCTGAGCACAGCACCCTGGGACCCAGTCACCTTCCACACACACGAGACCTTGGGGGACATTTTAAAAATTTAATGTAGTTTAATTTTGAGACAGACTCTCTGTGTAGCCCAGGCTTGGGGGCACAAGTGTGACTGAGGCAGGCGGGGACACAGTGGTGGCCTAAGCAGTCGCTGTCAGTGCAGAAGCAGGCATTTGGGTGAGACCACCATGCCAATGCCGTCACCGCTTGGGGAAAAACCCAAGACTGTGGCTTCAGAGGGAAGAGGAGCTCCTCTCTCCAGGGTTCTGCAACCAGAATCCAAGGACAGGCTGAGCACGGTGGTGCACACCTGTCACCCAGCACTTGGGAGGCTGAGGCAGGAGGATCATGAGTTTGAAGGCAACCTGGGCTACAAAGTGTCCCAAGAGGGCCTGGATTACTGAGTGAGACCCTGACTCAAAAAAAAAAAAAAAAAAAAAAAAAAAGACGGAAGGAAGGACAGAAGGAAGGAAAGAAGGAAGGAAGACAAACAGAAAGAAAGAGAGATCCAGGTATAGTATCCCAGCACTCTGGGGGGCTGAGGCTGGAGTTTGAGCCCAGCCTGGACACTTTAGTGACTTAGCCAGATGCAAGACTGTCTCAAAATAAAATAATAGGGTGCACACCTATAATCCCAGCACTCAGGAGGCTGAGGTAGAAGGCTCGCCACAAGTCTGAGACCAGCCTAGGCTACACAGTGAGTCAAGGCCACCCTGGACTACATAATGACTCAAAGAAGAAAAAAAAGCAAACCCTAAATCACCTGTCTTGAGGTTACCCCAAGGCCACAAACACCAGTATCGGTTCGGCTCCCCCTTGACTCACCAACTCTCCCTCTCTGCCCGTCATGCCTTTGATTCCCCTGACAAACGTGCCCGGCCCCTCCCTGATGGGCCCTGGATCACTTTTCTGCAAGGAACGTCAAGAACCTGCCCTGAGCGAGACGGCTCCCTGTGCTCTCTTGGGGGGATCCCCTCAGACGCCATGTGTCGCGCGGGTCACCAAGGCTCCCGCCAGCCTTGCCCTGACAGTGACAGCAGCTTCCTGTCTCATGTCCAGCACCGCACCCCCTGTAGTCTCCAGCGCCATTCTCTGGACAAAGGCTCTGCCCACAGCGGTGCCCTGCAGGGGCCCCATTCCCACACCTCAGCGCCTCAGAGGCCTCTCCAGGATCAAGAGTTGCTCAAAGGCCAGGTGTGGTGGCACACACCTGTAATGCCAGCACTTGGGAGGCTGAGGCAGGAGGATCCTTGTGAGTTCAAGACTAGCGTGGGCTACAAGGTAAGCTGAAGGCCAGCCTGAACTGCACTGCGAAACCCTGTCTCAAAAAGATAAAAAAGAAAAAAAGAAAAAAAAGAATTGCTCAAGGCCCCAGCACTTCTCTCTGTGTGAAAATGCTGTGTTAGAAACTAAAGCTGTGAGAATTGGTGAACACACTTGTGCTGTGGTCTGAGCGTGTCCCTGAAGCCCCTGTGCTGGGAACTCAGCGCTGCCCCTGCATAGTAATGTTGGAGCGGTCTCTGTGCTGCCTGGGTACCCTCTCCTCCACACACCAGCCCTCACCAGATATGGCTGCTGCTGGACCAGGGACTTCCAGCCTCCAGAACTATAAGCCAAATGTAAACCTATTCTGATGTACTTGTGTTTTATGGGACTGGGGGTTGATTCCAGTACCCTTGCACAGAACTACATCCCCCGGCCTTTGAGTTAATTTATTTTTATTTTGAGACAGGATCTTGCCAAATTGCCTAGGCAAGCCTCAAATTTTTGATCCTCCTGCTTCAGCCTCCCTGAGTGCTACGATGACAGACGAATACCCTGGCCTGACTCAGACCCATTCCTCTTAAAATAACCGCAGTTCAACTGCCCTCACAGCGAGCCCTGCTCACTGCGTGGCCTGCCACGGCACAGCAGGAAGCTCACAGCAGACAGGAGGTTGCACAGGCCTTGTTTATGGAAACTTCCTGAAAATGGTTGCTCAGGACCCGAGCCCACACTGACTTCACACCCTGTTCAGTCAAGTCTCTGTAGGGACTGGTTGGTCTCTCAGCATACCTGGGAAGGAACAGCGGCGGGAATGAGGAAAAGAGACAGGAGACAAGACCCGGGCCAGGTCTCTTTACTGGATGCACAAGAGGGCCGAGCGACAGTGGGGGCGAGTATTTGCACCCTCGCAAAGTTCGTGCCATGAGAGGCAAGGTTGCTGAGCGACCAGTGGCGGAGAGTGTCCGGGCAGGACGCTTCCCTCAAGACTGAGGCAGCCTGACTGCTTCAGGCACTGTGGCCTTGTCTTCCCCTCACACATATGACCATTTATACCTCAAGCCGCTCCTAACGTCTCCAACTTGCCCAACCCCAGTCGTGCTCCACAGACTCACCGATCCAGACCCCACAGCTCACGCTGCCGCCCCCAGGCCCTGCTGACCTCCAGGGAGTGAGGTGCTGGGCCCTCCCGGTGTCAGAGCGGGCTGGCGGTGGGTCTGCGTGCTGCTCTGCTGACCCCCATGTTCACCTTGCTGGCCGGCACCCCCAGTGTGCCACGCCTCGCCCCGTGCTGTTCCGTGGCTGGCACAGGAGTCCTTGCCCACCTCTCAGGTGCTCTCTGCTTTCTCCCCGGACTTGACAGCTCCACCTCTCGCATTACGCGGGTACTTCTGGGGCTCACTCGCTCTTGGGGGCAGTGGGGACCTTCCTGCTTCTCCACACACGCTGCTTTCTCAGCACCAATCACACCCCGGTCTCCCTGCCGACTCGCAGGCCGGTGGCTGCCCACTGCATGTCCCCGGCTAGCAGCTGTCTGCCCCGGGCTTGGGCCCGCACCCTGCCTTGCTGCTCTTCTTGGGCAGGTGACAGCTCTACCATACCTTCTCTAAAAGGCAAGGAAAGCCCTTCCTGAACAGTGAGGGCAGCCCCTTGCACCCAGGGCGGCCTGACAGGCGCGGGTGGCCAGGCCTGTTGTAGGCGGCCACAAGGACTCGCTTGTCTCCGGACAGAAGGGCCTTGTTCATGGAGTTTGTTGGTGGCACAGCTGGGGCGCAGAGCTCTGGCCACCTCCCTGAGGTCTGGGACTCAGAGCTGCAGCCCCCGTCTTCACCCCCACGATCAGACCTGCTGCAGGCCGGGTCCCGGGGCTGGCACGGTTGGAACTAGGGATGCTGGCCCGAGCGCCAGCCAGGCGCGCTGGCCCCTCTGTGCGTCTCTCCAGGCTGCTGCTGTGACCACCCAAAAGCCAAGGACACATTCAGTGCATGGTGACAATTTGTCACCTTCAACCTTGAAGCCCTAGGAAGTGACACCCTGAGAACAGATGGGAGTGGTTCCTCACACCTTGGGTGGGTGTCCTTTATGCTTGGTGACCTTGGACCCATGTCCCTGTCCTGCTCCTGAGAGGGTCTGGAGGTGACGGAGCCCCTTGGAAGCAACAGGAACAACTTGTAGGCGCTAGAGGCCTGCACCCACGAAGGGGAGCCCTTTGGCCTGAGGGTCTGGAGCTTCCCCCGGTGTCCAGGAGGCCATGTGGGGACAGAGCAGGTAGTGACCCAGGGCTCGGGGCAGCTAAGAAAGCAAGTGTAGGTGCTGGGTCCCCAGCCTGGAAGCAGCATCTGGAACCTCGGACCACCTGGTGGGGCCCAGCTCTCTGGAGCCAGGTGGGACTGGGATGGCTTCTGTCCAACCCCAAGGTAAGACATCCCATGGGCCCTGAGGCCCTTCTGAGAGCAAGTGGTGCCCAGGCCATCCCTGGCCTGAGGGAACTGTGCCCATCTTCCCCTTTTCCTCCAGGGCTGGGCCATGGCTGCTGTCCCACACGAGGAAGTTAAACTGCTCTTCAGGCCTGGGGAGGGCAGTGGCCAACACGTCCAGGTCACGGTTTGCAGGACACAAGATGCGTGCAGGGCCCTTTGACTGGACCCTGCTGGCCTGAATGCGAGGAAGGGGCTTCTGGGGCCTGGGGCTGGGCAGCGGTGGCCTCAGAGTGGACCGGCCCATGGACGTGGAAATGGCCTCCACACCTGCCCCACCAGACCTAACCTGTACCCGCAGTCGCTTTGGCCCACCAGGCAAAATTCCAAGATGGCACCCGGACCTGCACTCCAGGGTTGGGTCCACAGCTTTGGGAACACACAAGCCGGCCCTCCACACTCAGCCCCGGGGCTGCGGCGCCCCGTAGCGATCACGCAAGCAACACCCGGAGCGGCCAGCAGATGGCGCCAAACGCCTTCTCTAAGGGTGGACACTGGCCAGGTAGGGGGCTCCCCTTCAGAGTGGGTGCAGGAGCAGCCAATGATACCCCTCACTGACTGTGAGCTGGGCCCTCAGGCCCCACATCCCGCCCAGTCTTGTCAGACCTGGTAGGTGCCCCACAAAGCCAACCTGGGTGACAGGACTGGACCCTCTGGTACTAACCTGGGAGGACTTCAGCAAGGGGTTTGGACAGATGTGAGGGGGACGATCTCCTGGGCTCCTGCAGCCTCTCACCTCCCAAAAAAGTCCCCCAGGGTCCTCAGCTTTTCCACCCTTTGCCCTCTGCCTCAGTTCTGAGACAAGGTGCAGCCTTGGGGCCGTGGACCCCACCCCCGGGGACAGACACTCTGCTGCCAGGAGACAACTGTTTTAATGGCTTGGCCTGAGAGCCCCTTGTCTCATCTCTGAGCGTGATGGCCACTAGCACAGCAGCCAGGCCCCACTGGCTGGGACACAGTCAGGGGAGCTCTTTCCTGGGCTGTGTGGGGTGGTATCTGAGGCCAGTCCCTGTGTCCCTCAGACCTCCACAGGGTTGTGTCCCAGAGCCCTGCCCAAGCTGCCCTTGCCAAGCAGCACCCGCGGGTAGGGGGGCAAATCTGGAGGCCAGGTCACCAGCCCAGCCAGCTCTGAACGCCAACCCCTCCTGGGATGTGGGGGGCAGATGGGCAGGTGGATGGAGGTCGGTAGGCTGGGGGTCAGGATCACAGGGCCAGGAGCAGTCCATGCACAGGAGTTCAGTGGGAAAGGTCCGCCCCTGTGGCCTGGGACAGGTGGCTGAGGGCCCAGGGGTGGGCACAGTTTTGGCTGGCCTTGGTCCTTGGTGTGGGTGGTGGGTAAGCTGGGGGTAGGCAGGGGCCTGGCCAGGCCTAGGCCTGGAGGCATCTGGCCGCCCCATCTGGCCCCTGAGTCCTGGGTGTAAGATGATACACCTACAGAGATGACACCCATGCGTGCGGTCGGCCCAGCACAGGCGCGCCCCTCTGCGCAGCCAGGTCTAGCTGTCCTCTGCCTTCCGCTGGCTCTTGGAATGAAACTTGTTCATGAGCTCCTCCAGCTCCGACCCGCTCTGCTGTTTCTAGGGAGGACGGGCGGGATCTCAGCTGGGGCTGCACGGCAGGGCCCGCAGCAGAAGGGTGCAAGGGGAGGCGCGCCGCTCACCTCTAGGACGGCCTTCTGCACCGTGAGCTGGCTGTACACGCGGACGCCCTCCTCCCCGCACACCTTCTTCAGTTCGTCCTTGTTGAGCGAGAAAAGCTGGGGCCCGGTCAGGATGCCCAAGTTCTCCACGATGCTGGGGGCATGAGGGCGGGGTGGTGGGTGCGGCAGCCTGGCACCGGCGCCCGCCTGAGCCGCCCTGCAGCACCCAAGCCCTCCTGCCCCCTGCCGCCCCACCCGAAGCTCACCGGCTGCTGAAGGCTTTGGCCTCCAGCCAGGCCCGGACCTCCTCGGGACCCGACTCGAAGGTGAGCGGCAGGCGCACGGAGTGGCTGCGCTCCACCCGGAAGGGCCGCGACTGCTGCATCCTGATGTGGCTGATCTTCTTCGCCAGCTCGTCGTTGACCTCATCCATGTGGTGGATCAGCTCTGCGGGCGCACGCGCTCAGCCCCGCCCCGCCCCTCGGCCCGCCTGCAGCACGCAGCCCCGCCCTGTCAAACCCGCCCCCCGCGCGCCCCCTCTCCGCTTAAGCCAAACCTCACCGTCCTTGTTCCCCGCGAAGGTCGGGGGCAGTTTGTGGGTCGGGCTGGCGGGGCCCCAGTATCCCTGACCGGCCTGCCAGGGGCGGGGGAGGGGGTGAGAGGTGAGGTGGGGGCTGTCGGGCCCCCCAGGACCCCAGCCCCCGGCAGCAGCCCGGGGCACAGCGAGGCCACCAGGTTACACGCTCAGGCCGGGGCGGCAACACCCAGGGCTCCCACCTGCTCCGGGGGAGCGCCCACGTCTTCGGGCCGGGCCTCCGCCAGGATGTTGCAGGGCACGTAGCCGGCCTGGCCGCTTCGGTTGCGCAGTTTCCACCACTGCCGCCCGTCCTCCAGCACCTGCGGGAAAGGCGCCCATCAGGCCAGCCCTCCGGGGTCTCCCTGCAGCCAGCACACCCGGAGCCAGTCCCGGACAGAGGGGCCTCATGGTCTAGCTGTAGATTAGAGCTCCCCCAAACCTCAACCCTGCCTGCTCCGTTTTCTGCCCCTCAGCAGGTGGCCTGGATTCAGGTTTGGCACAAACGGAGGCTCTCGGGTGGATATCACAAGCCCTTGCCGGGCACCGAGCCTGTGGGCCAGCCTGGGGTCCTGCATGCCCGGAGGTCCCCACACGGGGATTCCCCTCTGCCTGCCCTTTGGGGATCGGGAGGCCCAGCACGTGGACCCAGCAGATCCCAGCACTGGGGACCCTGGGAACATGCACGACCCGGTGTCCCACAGCTGGCCCCCGGGCCCCCCAGCTCCCTGGGCAGCATCCCTCACCTCTAGGACCTCATCCTTCTGCACAGAGAGCTCGTTGGCATTGCGGGCTGTGAAGTCGTAGAGGATCTTCACGTACTTGGAAATGGGAGGCGTTGGCTGGTACACCCTGCAAGCACCAGAGGGGCTGAGGCCCAGACGGGGCTGGGATCTCCTCGAGGCAGGGCAGCAGCTCCCCAGGCACCGGCCACCTGAGAGAGGCTGCGCTGGCTGCGGGAGGTGGGGCCAGAGCGGGGGACGGGGTCTGGGTCTCCCGTCCAGTGGCCACAGCGGAGCTGGAGCCAGGTGTGCGTCTGACAAGTGGCTGGGTCCCCCGGCCTCTGCCCCAGGAGTGAAGGCAGTGCGGCTGCAGAGGGCACTGCCCTGAGCTCCAGGGACATGGGTCCAGCCCTGCAGGGACGCCACCTCTCCTCACCATCGGGGCGGCTCTGGGCAGAGGCACCTCGGGCCGAGGGGGCTTCAGGGTAGAGGGACCCTGGAAATGTTTATGTGTGGGCCCAGAGGACACAAGGGGAGGGACAGGCTTGTGTGAGATGCGGGTCTCTGGCCCTTTCCTTCCTGAAACCGGACCCTGGGATCAGGCGGGTGACAGGCTTCCCAGTCAGACCAGGGACCAGCAGGGAGATCACAGAGGAGGGCAGGCAGAGGGATATCCCCACCCGGGCCGAGACAGAGTGGAGGCGGCTCTGCTAGCCCAGACCCCTGGTCTCCTCTGCTGGCTAGGGAGGCTGGGCTGAAATCACTCCCACTTCACTGGAGGAGGCTGGGGTAGGAGCATGGAACCTGCAGTCCCAGCTGGACCAATTCAGCCAATGTGGTGAGAACACATCAAAACCGGGGAGGGGCTGGGATGTAGCTCAGTGCAAAAGACCTGGGTTCAGTTCCCCAGTATTAAAAAAAAGAAAAAAAAAAAAAAAAACAGTCCTCACCACCCCCCAGGGAGGCAGCGGTGCTCCGAAGCCTCTAAGCACGACTTCCCTATACCCAAGGAAGGACGCACAGAGGCAGTGCTTGAGGGTAGTGAATTCACATGTGGTTTTAAAAATTTTACCTTTAACCGCTATAAAAATAAAATGAAAACCAGGTTCTAATCTGGAAAAGCAGCGTACTGGAGGGAGGCATTTGCCACCACCTGGGGCAGCATATGCCATGGGCCTTCAGGGGCTCACCTTGGAGCGTGGGGGGAGCCGGTGGGCTGCAGCGCATCCCCTGGGGTTGTAGGTTCACCCAGGATATGTCTTGGGGAGCTCTGTGCAGACAGCCGGCGCCCCAGGGTTGGCTGTGGGGAAAGTGGTAGCCTGGGTTGGTATGGGGTGGGAATCAGGCAAGAAGGGCAGTGACAGGTAGGGTCCCTGGCTCGGGGCTTGGCAAATGTCCACCTCCAGGACAGGGAGCCTGCCCAGGCCAGGGCGGGAGGTGTGGGTCTGGGGAGCTCTGACCTGGTCCTCAGTTGCCGCTGGCCCCTCCACCTCCCAGGGCGCCTCCTGCAGCACGTCCAGGGGCGGCTCCCAGCCGCTGTGGAACTTGGGCACATAGGGGGGCACCTGTGGCTCCCGTGGCCACTGGGAGCTGGGGGGACAGTCCCAGGTCAGCCTCGACCCACGGAGCTGGCCGCCCGCTACCCCCACCCTGCCCCACCGCCTCCGCACCGGGGCTGCGTCCAGGTCTCCCCCAGAGACTCCCACAGCGACATCTCCTTGGGGATCAGGTGGCCGCGCAGGAAGCCCACGGCGTCCCGGGAGAGCAGGGGGCTGGACACCGAGCGTGCGAGGTCCGGGCCTCCGCAAGTGTTGACAATCTGGGGCACAGCGGGGGTCAGCCGGGCCGCCCAGTGGGCCAGCCCTGTATCCCACACACCCACCCACAGCCCCCGCAGCTCCACAAGTGGGTGCTGGGCTCAGAGGAGCGCTAGCTTCCCGGCCCCGCCCTGCCCTGCCCCCGCACCAGGTCCAGCGGTCCGAAGAGGAAGTGCACCAGCTCTGCCGCGCTGGGGTTCTGGATGTGCTTCTGCAGCTTGGCCTGGCGGGGCGGGGCGGGGCGGGTGAGCAGGGCCAGGTGGGGACACCTGTACCCATCACCTCCCCACCAGCGCGGCGCAGGGCAAGGTCGCACTCACGAGCAGGTTGATGGCCAGCTTGGTTTTCTGGAAGCAGTCGACAAACTCAGCCTCGGCGGGGGGCCGCGCCCGCAGCGTGAGGACACCCTCTGCGGGGTGGGTGGGGCGTGAGCCTGGGCCCCAGCGCCTGCGGCCCCAGCACCTGCCCACCCGCAGCACCTGCGGCCCCAGCACCTGCCGGCCCCTTCTTGCCCTTCTTCTTCCCCTTCTTTCTTTGGTTCAGCTGCTTGAAAGCCTCTGCCGCCTTCTGCAGCCGGGCCACGAACCACTCGATGTCATCCAGGGCGCAGTTGAGGATTTGCTGGGGTCAGAGGGGGGGGGGTCAGCCACGCTGGGGGTGGGCGGCAGGGAGGGCCCCTGGGACCCCCTGGGCGGACACCCACCGTCTCCTTTTCTATCCTCTGGGCCAGCACCGCACGCGGCTCCTCATCCTGCGATTCCCGGCGACGGTAGCCTGATCCGGGACAGACAAGGTGCGACGGGGCCCCCAAATCCCAACGGTCACCCCCGTCCAGCCCCTAGGCCTACCTGGGTCCTGCAGCGGGGCCGGGGGGCCCACCCGGTTCTTGGCGTAAGGGGAGTCCCCCGCCTGGCGCTGGAAGGGGATAGGGGCGGGGCCCTGGGGAGGGGGCAGGATCGACTGCCGCTGCCGGATCTTCTCCTGGTGTCCCCTGGAGGGGCAAGGAGGGCCCGCTTAGCCTGGCCACCCACCCACTGCGGTGTCCCCCACTGCCCCTGCCCTCCGCCCCGGGAGACCCCTGGCTTCCCTCGGCCCACGGCCCTACTTCAGGGTCTGCGGCCGCATCTTCTTCCCCAGCCGGCAGTCGGCCAGTGCGCTCTCGATGTCCTCCTGCACCAGCTCGGCCTGGGGACACAGGGGCGTCAGGCCAGCCCAGCGTGCGCTGCGCACCACCCGGGGCGCCTGCGGCCTCACCTCCACCTCGTCGCAGTGGAAGAAGTGGATGTCGGGCTTGTTCTGCTCGGAGTCCTGGCACACCAGGAGCAGCACCGAAGCATAGCGCAGCTGGTTGAGCACCGTCTGGCTGTGCTGCACGGTGGGCAGCGGGAAGTTCTCCAGCTCCTCCTGCGGGCGGGGCTGGGGTCAGCACAGCCCTGGACACGGGGCGGACTGCGCCCGGGCTCACAGTGGACACACACATGGCTGAGAAAGGGACGGGTGCCACAGCCACAGAGACTCCTGGTGGGCACAGCGTGTGGACTCTGGTCCTCGGACACAGACACAATCGCCCACAGGCACAGAAAAGGGATGGATGAGGCCCAGATGTGGCCCTGGGATACAGACACGGACACTACCAGGCCTACTCACAGCTGCAGATACGCCCAGGGCACAGGCAGGTGCTTGCTACAGCTGTGAGGTACTCTGCTCCGTCCCATCCTCCCACCTGCCCTGAGCCCTGTCATCTTCCGTCAGCTGGACTGGCAGGGAACGCCTGGCTCACACAGAGGCCCTGGCACACATCGGGCCCAGGGCGCAGAAGCCCAGCCTCCAGCCACCCTTACCTGCGACTCGATGTCCAGCAGCCGCACTGACTGATCGCTGACCTGCAGCAGCATCTCCTGGGCCCAGACCTTCTCCTTGGAGCTCAGCTGCACCAGCTTCCGGATGGCATCGTCCACAGATGTGATGGCCTCGCTCTTGTCCATGATGAATGTGGCCAGGTGCTGGGGGAGGGCACGTGGTCACTGCTGGACACAGCTCTCCTGTGTCAACCAGGACCAAAGGGAGGCAGCCTGGAGGCCTGAAGGCCCCAGTCAGCTGTGAAGAGTCCTGAGGAGCCACAACCATCCTGGGGGTTCCTGAGGGGTCGCTCATGTGGGAGGTCTCTATTCTGCTTTGGCGGACTCTTTGGAGAGCATGGCTGTGCACTGATAAAATCTTCAAACTGGGCGCGGTGGCGCACACCTGTAATCCCAGCACTCGGGAGGCTGAGGCAGGACTGCTGTGAGTTCAAGACCAGCCTGGGCTACACAGTGAGTTCAAGGCCAGTCTGAACTACACAGCGAGACCCTGCCTCAAAAAACCAAAAGCCCTCAAAAATCCTCAGACTGCTTCACAGCCTTATACCCTGAGCCTGCTTCTCCCATCCCCTGCCACTGGGCTCCAGGAGCGGCAGGCCCCTCACCCCCTCGCCAGCTCTGCTCCCGTCCCGGCCACTCTTCCAGCTGCTCTCCCCCGCCATAGAAGTTGCCTGGCCAGGCGGCCTTCACCTTCATCTCTCTGCCCCCACACCAAGCTGTCTGCACTCCTGTATCTGGGGCCAGTCCTGGTACTGGGATCGAGCTGTTTCCTCCAGCCCAGGACAGTGCTGGCCCAGGACAGGCCCTCAGGGGTGTTCTCAGAACCAGAGCCCACGGGGACAGCCGGCGGCATGGTCCCGTGGTCTCCTCTCCGAGCCTGGCTCTGTGCCCTCCTAGCCAAGCTCCCTGCATGTTCTCAGAGTGAAGCCTTCCTCCCTCCTGAGCATCAGGACTTAGTAAACAGTGCTGGAGCAGCTGGACAAACACTAACCGAGAAACACAAAGCCTAAAAGCACTAGAAGAAAATACAGGATGATTTCTGGTCATCTAAAGTCTTTCTTCATGGGGCCCTTTCCTCAGCAAAGAAGAGAATCTGGATGCTCAAAGGAAACGACCAACAAATTTAACTTAAAATAAAAATTTCTGACTGGGGTTGTAGCTCAGTAGAAGAGTCTTTTCTTCCCTAGCCTGCACAGGGCTCTGGGTTTGATCCCCAGCAGCTCCCCACCCACCAAAAAATATTCTGCCTGGAAAAAAGTACCATATACAAAGAAAAAATTAAAAATAGCAAAAAACAGAGGCAATCGCTATGATGAAGGGCTAATTTTCTTTTTTAAAAATTGGCTTAGGATGGCAGAATTGTTGGGTGTGGTGGCACACACTTTGTAATCCCAGCACTTGGGAGTTCGAGGCCAGTCTGGGCTACAAAGTGAGCTCGAGGCCAGCCTGAACTGCATAGCAAGACCCTGTCTCAAAAAGATTAAAAAA